TGGGTCAGGAAACAAGAGGGAAGGCAGCGGGGAAGAGCAGACTCCCGGGGCTGCCACAGAAACGCACGGCCAACGTGCTCCTGCACCCCTCACAACAGGGGTCCCTAATCCCCAGCCTGTCTGTTTAAAACAGCCTCTTCTCAGCTGTAACAGGGAGTGGATTTACAAACTCTGTTAGTACCAGAGGCAGTATTTTCCTCTGTCCGTGCATTCAAACCTGGGGCAGGGGCAAAGCCTCCAGCCTTGCCTCCTGCTATCCCCCTCCCTGGAGGCTCTCCTTCCCCACGGGAAGGACGTGAAACACAGCCCCAGGCCAAGATAGGGCACAGGCTCTGCACACCAGAGCAGCATTTCGATGCACAGCTGGGATGCAGTATTCACACTGCAGCCTGGCAGAGAGAGATCTGACATCAGCAAAAGTGACACACATCTCTTGTATTACAGCTGTTGCACACGCACACATACTTATCTGACCTTCATGCAGCACCATATTTCTAGTGCTACTGAGCTGGTCTCACCCTGTCCTATTTTTGCCTAGCAGATTATTTCTACTTAATCTATTAATTCCTTTACTTTACGCTGATATGGCATATCAGAGCATCAGCAAGGGGGTAAGAAGACTGAATCAGCTCTGTTCAGCCTCAGGCAACCTTGCTGACTCCAGCTGTGTGCGTGTTGGTCGTGGCAGTGCAAGGTCAAAGCAAGCTCTTCTGTGTACCCCACCGCATGTGGCTGTGCCATGCAATGAAGTGCCACGATGATTACTGTTATGAATTCTTTCAAAGACTTTGTGGAATTAAGAGCCACAGAGAAAGGGAGGAACCAAGAAACAGGGAACAGAGAGAAATGAGTTTTCAAGTCTCAAACTACCAGTGAGCTGCCAACCTTGGGAAATGAAGATGGCTGGGGAGGGCCAGGCCACCCGGGCAAGTGCACCAGCAGACAGGGAAGTCAAAGGATGCAAGGTCTGTGAAGAGCTTATGAAAATAAAGACGGCTTTCGATGGAGTCCTGAACTAATGGAGAACCAAGTGGATACGGAAAAAGGAGAGGGACACGGTGGGAAGGGGAAGGGAAAGGAGTTCTGTGCTTTTCCACGTGATAAGCACCAACGGCCTGGAGGATTTGTTTCCACAGAGATGGGCAAACCCTCCCGGTTTGCAAATCAGTGCATCGAAATTCATCTGGCTCTAGCGGTTCACGGACACCCGTGCACCCCACCGCCCAGCGCTGCTTCCTCCCGGCTCCCAAAGACGATTAAGATAAATCACCCTGCAGGCCGATGGCCATCTGGCCACACAGCAGGATGCAAAGCCCAAAAGCTCTGTAAAATTAGAGAGTGGCCAAAAAGCTGACCTTGCTATAGCACTGAGAGCCTCTTTCTGACTAACCTAAGTACGGCAGGAAGCAGAAGTATACAGGTTTTCAGGGTCAGGAATTGTGCCCGGACTCCACTCAATCACCGCCCTCATTTTGAGTCCTTATAGGAAGCTCCTGTATCAAGGGCTGCATGGCAAAGAGCCAGCCTCCAAATCAGTTTTAAGTGTAGCTGGTGAGGCAAGCAGTTCGCTATAGACATGGTTTTAATGAGGGCTAAAGCAGAGTCAGATGTCTCAACATACCAGCAGCAACCCCAGTCAGAGGCGTATGTGAAAATAATTGCCACCAGACGGTTCAGGACCGCTGCTAGGGAAGCAGCCTTCAGCCGAGGGTCCCAACACGTTCCCCAAAGCCGGGGGAGGAGAGTTTACAGAGCAGACAAGGAGGATTGTTCTCATTTTTAAGATGGATCATCAAAATGGAAGAGGTACTAAGAGATGAGGAACTTGGCCAAAGCCTCCTCAGCTGATTAAACCCCAGCTCTGTACTCATCCATGCCTTGCCAAAGGCTGAGCTGCTTCGGAGAGGCACGACCGAGGCGGGGGCCGCGCTCCCGACTGGCACTGCCGACAAACAACTTCCCCAAGTGGCACAGGCAGCCCAGGGCCAGGCTGGGAACCAACACGAGAGGCAACCGTGGGATCTGCCCCCCAGGCTGGGCACAAACCGGCTTTCTCCTCAAAGCCACCGGCCTCCGGCACACCCCACACAGGCACCCAGCTCGGGATGGGTCTAGTGGCTGGCGAGGCAGCGCACCCACACGCCGTAGCCGAAGGAAGAGCAGCAGCAGCCAGCAGAACCACCCGGCAGCGCGTCCTGCCGGGCTGCGCTGTGGGGCCACTACCCACCCTCCTGGCCGAGCATCGCCCCATCAGCACCCCCCGGAGTGAGACATTCCCCTCCAACACATACACTCGTCTCAGATAAAGCCCAGAAAAGTCATCTATTTATATGGCTGGTCCTGCCCACACCTCTGCTAACGCTGTGCAGGGCTAACCACGGGCAGGAGCCGGGGGCAGGGGGCAGGAACAGCCTGGCAGTGAAGTGCCCAGGCGGAGCACCATCACCCAGCCAGCCCTTACCCAAGGAAACCCTAAAGAGGCCTTCAGGACCCCTGACAGGGGCTCCGCTGCAAGCCTGGCAGCTGAAGACCAGGATTAAACAATAAAAATAACCCTGGGAAAGTCACGGACGCACTTGACTCGAGCTCTTACCATGTCTAAAGAGCCTCCGTTGCTTTGCAGGATGACTCCAGCCTAAGTCACAGCCCCACGAGGATTTCTGGCTGACAGCACGTAAGATGGGAAGGTCATGGTTTGACAAGTGCTCCTTTCAGCAGCGGTAATTACTTCCCCAATTGCTTCACCAGCCCTTCCTCCCACCCCTATCCCTAACGTCTTCCCTGCTTTTGCATCACCCCTCAACAAAGTTTAGAAAATGTTTTTTTTAAGACATTTCCTGAGCCAAATCACCACATACTGTCCTGACAGGGCCAGAGGCTGTGTGCAGGGAACACACAGAGCAGTGACAGTTCACGTCCAGGGTAGGACAGAGTTGAGCAAGTCCTGTTCTCTGTCCCCCAAAAACCTCATCTTGCCCCTCTGTAAAACAGAGAAAAGATGGAGCTGTTCTACACAGACTTCACATCCAGCTGGGCCATTAGCCAGGCTGTCTCCTGGGCGTGAGGCACAGCATTTACCTCTGCAAGGATCGTCTGGGTCACACACAGCCACGAGGAATACACACGGGATAAGAGGGATGTGCAGCTGACAACACGGAGGACCGACAGGGAAGGGAGAAGCCACATCGCAGAGAGCAGAGAGGAGGAAGAGACTGCTTTGTGCAGGGGCTGAAAATGGGTGCAAGGAACATTATCTGCAAATTACACCTATTATTGTGAGGAAAATGCTTCTACTCAATATGAAAATACCCTGTCTGAGGCAGCATAAAAATGAACGATTTTACTAACCATCAAACCCGGGCTGGGCTCCTGCGTGACCGATGACTTTGGGGGAAGGAGGGAAGGGATCGGAGTTTTGAGTATTGCAATTATGGCAATTCAAACCTACTGGGAAATAGCTCAATTAAGGGTTTTGAAACACAGGACATAAGAGCCAGGACCAGGTGCAACCGCTCCTCTAGGAAGGAAAAACAAGTGCTTTTTCTTGACTCAAGTCTTTGATTGCCCAAACTACAATAAAACCAGCTTTTTTTTTTTTAAGTGACTCTTGTTGACGATCCTAATCAGGCAAGACCTCCCCACTCTTTATATTTTTGCTCCAATTCCCCTTTGGAAAAGGCATGTTCATCCTCCAGATCCTGGTTCAGAAAGGAGAGCTGGTTGGTCCAAGACCTGCACCCGTTGGCTCTGATAAGTGAGAGAAGCCAGTCCCGAGGCACGCCGGCACCCCCTGCCCCGCTGCTGCAGCCCGGGGACACCAGGGTGCAGGGCAGGCAGGCGGGGACGCACCCCAAAACGCCAGGGGAATGGCTCGGCACCGCTCTCCACGGCCCCAAGTCCCACCGCCAGGTTTCTGTGCCTGTTCCCTGCAAGATGCTGGATCCAGCTCCTTCCTGGGCCACCCTGCGGTTCCCACGCCGAGCCCCGTCATCCCACCCCCCTGGCCCATGGGTGCCACCACCACCAGCAGCTCAGCCCCTCCTGCTGACCCACCAAAGTCTGCACAGCCACCTTCTCAGGGGTCTGGCTTGAAAGGAAATACTTACTGCCTTCGCTTTGGTTGTCCTTGTTGGAGTTGTAGACCTGGAAAACACAAGAAGAAAGTCTTATGAAGACCCTGGCTCCACGTGGGAAGGGACTGCTGACATGCCTGGTGTCACCCTGACCTGCCTCAACCTCCCCCAGCAGCGCCGTCCCCAAAGGCCACCGCAGCCTTCTGCATTCAAACCGTCAGGTTGCCACCGCTTTGGAGCTGCGTTAAAATAACAACTGGGACAGTTCTTAAAACACGAGAAGGCAAAAGGGATGGACTAGGTGAAAACAGAAACTAAAGGGGCTTTTAAACAAAATGGAGGTGGGCATTTACATCTTATGGGCATTACAGGTGCAACTCAGACAAGAAGCAGGAATCCACCCTCACTCACAAGTACTTACAGCCTGAATGAACGAGTCAGGAAAAGAGTAAGAGAGGAAAAGAAATGTCATTGACATAGAGAGGACCTGAAACGCAGGATGAGGCAACGCACCCAACACTGCCCATGACAGAGCCGCCCCCTGAGCCATCGCTGGGGCTTCATCCCAAGACTCTCATGTCTTCAAATATCGGTGCTTTTCCCCCTGTCTCAATCACCACTACAGCTTGGCTACTTTAATCTAAAGTAATGTTTCAACTGATACAATAAAAAGGGGAAAAACAACGGTAGAAAGTTTTAATCACCGTTTGAGGGTGATTTAAAAGCCTAGCATAATGAAAACCACGGCCATAAGAAGATCAGCCTTCAGACTAGCCCAACAGAGTAAAACATTTTAAAATAAACCTTTGTCTACCCAGAGCCCAAACAAAAACACATACACACACTGGCACTCCATCAGCATCACAAGCTAGAGCCAAGCGTGGCAGCACCCATGGACACAGGGA